ACTAATACTAATATTAATTATAAATATTAATAATTAATACACTCTACTACTAATAATAGTAATGTAATAAGGATAATTATGAATGCTGATAATAATAATGAATCTAACAAAACTAAACTGCTGCTAATCATAATGCTGATAATGACAATAGTGATACTAAGGATAATGATAATAAAAATAAAAAAAAAAAATATATAAATTTCTGAATAATGAAGCTGATGAAGTATGCTCATGATAATTCTAATACCAATTGCTTATGCTTAATGATCTGAATAACCTTTGATTAATGCTCATATTATGATGTTAATGATAATGACTATCAATTTGAAAATCATGATGTTGATGAGCTGTGCCTATGATGCTGCTAATGTCAATAACAATGATAATGCCTAGAATTGCACTAATGTTCCTTGTTATTACTCTGCTTAGATTAGATTGTTAATCATTAAGCTAATGAGGTAAAATCATAATGATTATATAAATGGGTCTTAGAAAAACAATGATGATGACAATACTAATGATAATATTTAAGAATGATGCAAATGCTAATGAGCTATGCTCTTGATACTGCAAATTCAAATGTCAATGATAATATCCATAACAATGAGAATAAAATAACTAAAGCTAATCATTGCATTACAATTGAGATGCCTAGCTTGATAATAATCATGGTAATGCTAAAGAGCTAGGCTAACAAATATAATAACGATTATGATCATATATGTACATAAATGCTAAATTTAATCAGAGTGCTAATTGAAATTGGTAACAATGATGCCAATGCTGATGAGTAATGCTATTGGTATTTCCAACGCAAGTGAAATATTTCTTTAGTATTTAGTGAATAACTTAAGATTACAAAAAATATATAACATTTTAATTTCATGATTTTACTTGAATACTGTTAAAGCTTTTCTGATCAAGTGAAGCATATACATAGACTTTGCTTCCATTCAAGTCTTACTTTCTATAGCTTGACTAGATTTTACAGGTAATTAGCTAGTCGCTCAGTCAAAGCATTCCGAATATGCATTTGCATCGGTAATGCTTTTAGCTAACGTTGTTTATCTGTTTGTTTGTCATGCAATTAGAATGCTGAGAGCTTTACACGTTTAACCTTAACATGAATA